CTCCATGATTCCGATATTGCACAATCCGTTAAATGCAAAACTAGACAGGGCCAGATAGCAAATGTACAATTTCTCACCGTAACTCAATGATAGTTAAAAGTCTATCATATAGGAAAGTGTCGTTCAAAGAGGAGAAACGGACTCGGTTGATTGGTGTTTGGGAATACACAGCCACGATGAGGTGGAGTTGAAAGCAGGATTCCCACAAGAGCCATTTTCTGTTAACATGCGTCTCTTTGTAAATCTTTGATTCAAGAGACTCAAAATTGTGGAAATTCTTCAATAAGGAAGCTGAATTCTGCTGTGCCGTAGCGAAGCATGGGACTTTTAGTTGACAAGGAGGCTATGCTATGATAGTAGTGAAGGATCTGATGATGCAACTGAAAAAGGTTTCTCCCACGAAGTGAAACCCGATGCTATGTTCCGGATCGCATGGGTTTTGTAATTGTGAGTTTCACTGCAGGGAGTATCATGTAAGATACGTCAGGGTTTCTTTGTTGTTTGCTAGGGCGCAAATCTACTTACGTGAGATTGAATCGCGAGATATGACAAACAAGAACCGTCGTACTCCGTGCAACCGCTGCGAATCGGATCTTGCCAGGGCCTTGGCAAGACTTGTACGGTCATATTTTGATAGTGCCATATTGCATACAATTCATCCTTGGGCGCAAACTGGAGATTAGTCTTATCAGGTCATTTCATGGTCTCCCGGATTTTAGGCTTCCTACGTACATTGCTTGCGCCAAGCTTGGGATGTGACAACTCATGACAGTGTTCCTCACCCTCCTATTCATATGAAGTCGGCTTCGTAGCTAACGAGGCTTTTGAGACATTCTCAAGGCATTGTCGAGGCTTTCCTGTTTGCCGTCTTCTCCTATAGTTTCAGATTGGCTAGTAAATCCTGGGTTAGACTGGTCAAGTCGGGCTTATTTCTGCCGCGACTTCAAAGACGAATACGTGCTAGCGAAATCGACATGGAAATTATCTAGTTCGTCCTGTATCCTCATAAAACATTACTTTGTAGATCCCAGGATCCAATATTCTGGTGTAGGAGGCGAAATACAGATATATCGTGACCACCAAATAAACATATTAAAACATGTTTTGCTCATCTCTCTAATATAGCAGTCAAACAAAAAGTTTTGACTTCCCATGACAAGCTGAACTGTGTTATAAATTACATGATGACAAGAATCGTAGTGACGCACCCGAACCTTGAAACCGACCACGAGTTCTCGTTGAATGTGGCTTAGATAAAGCTAAATCTTGGGCTCAGTTTGCAGTCTAGTCGAATAACTTCTGCGATCAACAAACAGACTCTGTAATACAATTGGCTCGGGAAAGTAAATCACCTGTGATGTAACAAGCACTGCCTCCTGGGTCATACGTGATAGTAGCTGGAAGGTAGTTATTGGGGTTGAGCCGCCTCTTGGCTCGCCAGGCAGAGATGCTTTGCACAATACTATTCGGTCAACTTTTAGTACCTAGTAAGGTAGTGAAGCTATAGGCACTACCCAGTGGTTCACCGGCCGGATCATTTGACCAAGAGTCCACAGTAACGGCGAATACCAGGGCGAAAGTAACAAGGCAAGGAAGATACCGGCAGACCACACTATACTTTTGTACATGCCTCGCGTGTTCACCACAGTGGCTCTTATTGGAGTTGGCCGATAGAGGCTGAGTAATGCCACCAAACGTAATAAGAGCGATTCATGATATGGTTATGACCATATTTCACCTGTTTGACTAACACTTGAACCAAGCCCAGGATTTTTAAACTCGGTTCAGCTTGGCTCGGCTTGGCTCGGCTTGGCTAGATGACTTTAAGACCCTTGCTGCATAAGCTGCCAGATGAAAGATTTCTGGGCAAAGATCTAAAGTGTAATGTGATTGGCTGAGCAATTCAAGATTCGTTTCCTAAATGAGACGTGAACAACTCTTTTTTAACGACAATTGATCATCGCTGAATTTGAGGTAAAAGATTGTCTTGGAGATATTTTCTGGTAGAAAACGAACTTTCCGCGATAGTAGCGATGTTTCATGACTCATTTCTCACTCATGAGTAGTATCTAGATCTGCTCTATTCAACATGATCTGGACACAAGCCCCAACTGCCTGGCCATTGGCTAGATGTGTGGCTGTGCGATGGCATCCGCCACATTCAAGTTTTCACTTAGTAGGTATACCCAGGAAGGCCTCCGATTGCCCGTATACATTACAGTACAGTTCCTATCAAAAGTTTGTATGATGGGCCAGTCTCCAATAATTGTTCCAAACCTGGTGAAAAGAGTGGCCTCGGCCATGCCAAGCCCCGTGTTTAAGGAATCAGAACCTCCATTTGTTCATGATCGGCATGTGACACGCGACGGGCATAAAAAGGAGATACGAGAGGTCTCTTTTGGCATAGTAATGCCAAGCCTGACATGTCAAGATGTCAATGCCTTGATCTCCCTAACCAGAGAGATCAAGGCTTTTCGAGATAAATGTGTTAAGCTAAGCGTGGAGGGCTGTCATCAAGGAGACGCAGTTGGCTCATTTCATATTGTCAAAGTTACTTACCCGCCAATCTCGCTTCTCTCCCGAACAACAAGGCTCCAAATATCAGAAAACGAAGCTTGACCCGAGTAGTGGGGTTTCGAGAACGCTAGGATTGGATGATTAATAAATAGCGTTATGGAGTTTACAGCTTCTCGATTCAAGGTTACTTGGACAGGATTAAATCCGAGCTCTAATCCTAGTGTAACAGACTAAACATCCCCTGGTACAGTACGACCTTGGAGAGAACTGTTTCTCAACATTGGAAGGGCTTTGATCCACACTCCGGGTCAAGTTATTGTGGTGATCAGAAAAGTCCACGCTCCCATGGCATGTCGTCAGAATCCTCAAGTTGTTGAATATGTGGCTCTGCTCTAAGCCGGAATGCACGGTTGAGCAATCTAAGCAAATAAGCTCATCAGCCGTGTGACTACGCAAGAGCCCGCAGCTAAGAGACAAGGATAGAGAGGATCCAATTTACAGGGAAATTGCCCATAGGACTTTATGTAGCCCGACCCGGACTCGATTCCTATATTCTTCTCTTAGCCGTAGACGCCCTTCTCACCAGGGAAGTTGCTTGATTAAGAAGATATTTTTGAATGCCAAAAGACTGGGGGTTCAAGCACGACTTCATGGACTAGCCGCAGTGACATCCATATTCATGCCTAGGCTTTCTTAATAGGGGCGAAAACTGGACCAAGACAGGGTCCACGACTAGTAAGAATAGTATCGCGTCGTCATGTCGACCACTGTCTCGCCCATACCAGCGTGTAGTATACCTAGGATTCTCCGGCATCGACGTTGAACTGGGGCTTATTCAAGCTATTGTTCTTGTTCATCTCGCTACCAGCCACGATGCGTAGTAACTCGTGAGACGTCATCTATCTGTTGGTACGGAGTACAAACAAAAACATCTCAGAGATAATGTTCGTTTGCCCGACGATAGGTGCCGATGAACTGAGTCAGGAATAATGACTAGCATCACGGCGTTAAACATGCTATGAAACCCTCCCTGGATATACCTCCCGACTTAGTCAATGTTTGACCACCAATCACTGCAATTCGTGCTTCCTATGTAAAAAACTGTCTCAAAAAGCGTGTGGGCTTGGCGCCAAGTCGTGCCATTGACGACTCAGGACAAGGCAGTCCAAGGCCGATGGATGCTAGAGTCTTGGCTCTCCCCAGAGCTTCTAGACGTTGCCAAGCCGGGATCATCATGCGCGAGTGCGAGAGCGTGCTGCACTGTGGCGACATGGGATGATGAGCTGCCTCACAATATGTTGAGGGCGACAAACGAAGCTGAATGAACGTCACCAAGTCGCCTTTTCCTCATCTCATCATGGACCCGTGACACTGAGACTCAGAATTTGAGTTATGTTGAAGCTAGTATGTACAACACAGCCTCCCTCTCCAAGCGCCAAAGGCGTTAAGGGCTCGAGGCCGCCGAGGAAAGGCTCATCACGGGAGAAGTGCCCTGGCCATGGAGGCGACGGAATTGGCTATACAGAAAGATAAAGCATGATCAAGCGATAAGGCGATCTTTTGTTTAAGCCGTAGGGTCTAGGTATGGTTGAAGGAAAGTTGAAGGAAGAAAGCTTGTCACTACATGGATACCTACCTCGTGGTTGAAATTGATCGGGAATATGGCACAGTGTAAGTAAGTCCGACCTTGTGCACGTACTTGTAGTAGCAGGAACCTGTCTCCGCGTATCGTTCAGTCTTTGGGTGCATTCAGCGCCTAAGATCTGGCTTCAGAAGTTGATAATACTGCTCTGCTCTACTGGGTTCTTACCTAGGTAGTACTCTATCCCAAGGTAGAAAGTCTTCCGTTGGTTCGGCGCCTGCCCGGTCCTTGCACCGACCGACGGATGGGAGCTCCATCTCAATAGAATACCCTTCAGGTACGTAACTCCTGTCTCTATACACACACCCGTGGTGATATCCGCTAACCAATCAGCAACAATCGACTCTTTGCACTGCCTCGTTTTGAAGACTGGACCAGAGAGAATGGAAGCAAGCTCGGTCGAGGCGAAAAAACATTGGATGCCCATGCATCCTCATCCATTGCCCTCCACTCAATGCATTTCTCCTCAATTCAATCTTCAACTTATTATAACCTTCTCTTTCGGTTGTTTAATAAGTCGAGTTTGGGTTGGCCATGATTGAGTTCTCGGGGCTTATTCTTCAGATACCTTAAATCATCCCACTTCTTTCTGCCCTTGAGGCTTCTTCTTAATACCAGTTTCCTTTACTTCCATTTAAACAACATCGCCCCATGCGCTCCTGGCTCCACGCCCTCATCTTCCCTTGAAAGCTTCCGTCCCTTTTGCTCAACATAATACAACACTAACTTGCCTCACTACCGACGACACTTTTGCCGCTGCATAGCCTCAAATCTGGTTCGCTGTCAATTCTCCGGCCTCCAACTCTAGGCTGTCGCTCATCGCGGCACTGCCCGACCCAACATGGCCGATCACGATGAACATCCGCCCATGAGGCGTCGCGCGTATGTGACTGAGGCAGAGGCTCAAGGGGCCTCCAGTGATCCAAAACCTTATCAGCCGCTGAATGCTTGCTGATGAATATCCCAGTCCGACCATCACCATTGATACCACCGCTGTCAACCCTAATATCTCTACCGAACCGCCCCAAGAGTCACATCCTTCCAACATGCAAGACGACGCAGTCAGCCCTACAACAATATCCGACCCTGTATCGACCAGCGGCATGTCGCAACGACCTTCGAGACCCGAATTGGACACATCCTTGGCCTTCGAGAATCGAGATAGCAGACCAACAAGTCCTCATAATGTCTCGAGCCCAGTAACATCAAGATCAGGCGAACGCGGTGTGGGATTCCTATCTGTGCCTATGAACCACCGATCGCGACAAAACTCAGTCGACTCTGACGACATGTCTCGATCCGTTTCTTCCCAAGGCGATACCACTGTTGTGGCCTCCAACTCGACACAGACAGATACGCTGAAAGGCTCCGAATACGACCACAAGAAGATTACCAACGATGAGAGCGCTTTGAAGCCAGATGCAGGCACAGAGCAAGACTTCGAGGTGGAAAACAACCCCTTTGCCTTTACACCTGGCCAGATGAACAAAATGTTCAACCCCAAGAGTCTTCCGGCTTTTTATATGTTGGGTGGCATTGATGGTATCGAGAAGGGTTTAAGATCTGATCGAAAAGCCGGATTGAGTATGGATGAGAAGACTCTGACAGGCAAGGTCTCATTCGAGGATGCAACATCTAAGAAGCAGATGCCCCGCGAAGATCATGCTCCAGCGCAAACAGGCGCTGGTTTTGCCGACCGATTACGTGTTTTCAAGGACAACAGGTTACCGGAGAAGAAAGGCAAGAGCCTTTTGGAGCTTATGTGGATTACCTATAACGACAAGGTTTTGATTCTGCTATCGATCGCTGCAGTAGTAAGTCTTGCAGTGGGCCTATATCAAACATTTGGCCAAAAGCACGAGCCGGGTGAGCCCAAGGTCGAGTGGGTTGAAGGCGTTGCGATTATTGTCGCCATCGCCATCGTCGTCATCGTCGGCTCTTTGAACGATTACCAAAAGGAACGCCAATTCACGAAACTGAACAAAAAGAAACAGGACCGTCTAGTCAAGGTGATTCGATCAGGAAAGACGATAGAACTCTCTGTCTTCGACATCTTGGCCGGCGATGTGATTCACATTGAACCTGGTGACTTAGTACCAGTCGACGGAGTTCTGATCGAGGGCTTCAATGTCAAATGTGACGAATCTCAGGCCACAGGCGAATCAGACATTATTAGAAAACAGGCTTCTGAGGTTGTCTACAATGCCATCGAGAACCATGACGACCTCAAGAAGATGGATCCTTTCATCCAGTCTGGCGCTCGCACCATGGAAGGTGTTGGCACTTATATGGCTACCTCAGTTGGTGTTTACTCTTCATACGGCAAAACTCTCATGTCATTGAACGAGGATCCTGAGATGACCCCCCTACAGGCGAAGCTGAATGTCATCGCTACCTACATCGCCAAGCTCGGTAGTGCCGCTGGTCTCGTGCTCTTTATTGCTCTCTTCATCAAGTTCCTTGCTGGACTACCGGCTTCTAATGATACACCCGCTGAAAAAGGACAGCAATTCCTCAACATCTTCATTGTTGTCGTTACTATTATTGTGGTTGCTGTTCCTGAAGGATTACCTCTTGCTGTTACCCTGGCTTTGGCTTTTGCGACAACCCGAATGCTTCGGGATGCCAACCTTGTGCGACACCTCAAGGCATGTGAAGTCATGGGAAATGCCTCTACTATTTGCTCTGACAAGACTGGCACTTTGACTCAAAACAAGATGCAGGTTGTGTCGGGAACTATTGGAACAAGTCTCCGTTTTGGTGGCTCATCCTCAGGTGATGCCAGCGGCGCCTCTACCCCAGTGGATACTAGTGGTGATATTGGTATTTCCGAGTTTGCCAGCATGCTCAGCAAACCTACGAAGGAACTTCTCCTCAAGTCTATTGCACTCAACTCCACCGCTTTCGAAGGAGAGGTAGACGGAGAAAAGACATTCATTGGTTCCAAGACTGAGACTGCCCTACTCATTCTCGCCAAGTCTCATCTTGGCATGGATCCTGTGAGCGAGGAGCGTGAAAACGCCAAGGTTTTGCAGCTCATTCCTTTCGACTCTGGCCGCAAGTGCATGGGTATTGTTACTCAGGGTCCAAACGGTAGTGCACGTCTCTACATCAAGGGTGCCTCCGAAATCATCCTCTCCAAGTGTACTCAAGTACTTGGTGACCCAGCCAATGACGACTCTCTTGCTCCTATGTCCGATGATAATGTCAGCACTGTTCAGCAGCTCATCGAGAGCTATGCCAAAAGGTCACTCCGAACCATCGGCATCTGCTACAAGGACTTCTCCTCATGGCCACCCAAGAATGTTGGCCGTGTCGATGGCGGCAATGAAGTTGTCTTTGATGACATTTTCTCGGACATGGCTTTTATTGGCGTCGTCGGCATCCAAGATCCTCTTCGAGAAGGTGTCCCAGAAGCTGTCAAGCTCTGCCAGCAGGCTGGTGTTGTCGTTCGCATGGTTACCGGTGACAACAAAATCACAGCCGAGGCCATTGCAAAGGAGTGCGGCATCATTCAGCCTAACTCTATTGTTATGGAGGGACCTGAGTTCCGCAACCTTTCTAAGCTGGAGCAAGAGGAGATTATCCCCCGCTTGCATGTTTTGGCACGCTCATCCCCCGAAGACAAGCGTATCCTTGTGAAGAGACTCAAGGACAAGAACGAGACAGTGGCTGTTACCGGTGACGGTACCAATGACGCCCCTGCTCTCAAGATGGCCGACGTTGGCTTCTCCATGGGTATCTCTGGTACCGAGGTCGCCAAGGAAGCTTCAGCCATTATTTTGATGGATGACAACTTCACCAGCATTGTCAAAGCTCTGAAGTGGGGTCGTGCAGTCAATGATGCAGTCAAGCGATTCCTTCAGTTCCAGCTCACTGTCAACATCACTGCCGTCATCCTCACATTCGTTACAGCTGTCTCTAATAACGAAGAGTCGTCTGTGCTGACCGCCGTGCAACTGCTCTGGGTCAACCTCATCATGGATACACTTGCTGCCCTCGCCCTTGCCACCGATCCTCCCCACGACAGTGTTCTGGACCGAAAGCCCGAGGCCAAGGGATCCAGTATTATATCTGTCACCATGTGGAAGATGATTCTTGGTCAGTCTATTTATCAACTTGCCATTACCTTTGTCCTCTACTACTACGGCCCAATTGTGCCACTAAGCCCGGCACCGGATAAAGAGGAAATCAAGACGCTGGTTTTCAATACTTTTGTCTGGATGCAGATTTTCAACCAATGGAAGTAAGTGCCGCCTCTGATAATTCAAATTGGATTTTCCTAACGTATACAGTAACCGTCGTCTGGACAACAAGTTCAACATCTTCGAAGGCCTTACCAAGAACTGGTTCTTTATCGGCATCAGTGCTATCATGTGTGGTGGCCAGATCCTGATCATTTTCGTTGGTGGCGAAGCCTTCCAGATTGCGAAGAAGAAGCAGAGTGGCGAGCTCTGGGCCATGGCCATCGTTCTTGGCTTTCTCTCTATCCCAGTCGGCGTCATCATTCGCCTCATTCCTGACCATTTCCTTGAGGCTTTGGTTCCCGAGTTCCTTAAGCAACGTGCTAAGAACGTGCCTGGTCTTACAGTATCCGATGAGGAGATGAGCATGTACCCCGAGCCGTTGGCGGATGTCCGCGACGAGCTCAACTTCATACGGCGCATGAAGGGTGGGCGATTGAACAACCTCAAATTTGCAATCCAGCATCCCAAGGAGGCGGTTGAGATGGTCAGGTCTAGAAGTCCGTCTCATTCTCGATCCAACTCTCTCAACGCACCGCAAACGCCAATCCAGGAGAATCCATTTGACGGGTCGCCGATTGGGACACCAAACTCAGGCAGGAGGCCTAGATCGACAAGGTCACGGTCTAATTCTGCGCTGGGAGCTCCTACGGTGATGGCAGGTATCGTGGCAGCAGGTGTAGCGGCGGGCTGGCAGCCAAAGATGCGGCCAGACAATGACGGAGATCACAGTGACTCACCGAGGTAGTCGCTGTACTGTGAATTGGCTTGAACATTGAGTGCGTGCGAGGTATTTTTTATTCTAGTATTGCTTTGGGTACCGATAGAACTGGTTAGCAAGGAATCAACATGAGAAGAGTTTGAGCGATTGAACGACAATAAAAGGCCTTTGTAAAAATGAAACGATAGTTGGATTAAGCAAGTGACTGGAAAGAAAGCCAAGGTATCAAATACCATACAACTGAAAGATTGACTAGACGGCAAAATCTACCCAACAAATGTGGCGGGAACTAAAATGGTGGATGATTCAGTAGGTGGTCATAGATTCAAGACTACTTAATAAGAAGAAGGATTACCTTACTCGAAGCTGACAGGATTATAACATGTATAATGAGTACTCGGGAGACAAAGATGTAATGGGATTGTATCAAGGACGCCAACGCTCAGTAGCAAAACGTATGCTTATTTATTCAAATACAGTGCTATTTGTAACGACATCAACAGAACAAAAGGGCCTAGTCAAGTTGAAGGTTCAGTTGGTGGGTGGTTGATAGGCAATATTTGTAGCCGACCAATTCACCGAGAATAGTGACAACCTGGCATGCCATGTCATGCAAAATGAACAGCCAGACAATTTCGATACGTATACGAGAAAAGAGAGGAGATGATTTGAGTAGAGTACAGTAGAGTAGTCTGACATAAGATCCAGGACAGGATGGAAATATCTTTATATAAAAGAACAAGGCATATATGGCCGCATTGCAACATCGGCAGCTGGCAGGCAGGCAGTCCGAGACAGAAGATGAACTATAAAAAGTTAAGGGAATTCAGGAAAAGCCAAAGTGCGAAGGGGACAAGTGAACTTGGCTGCATGGATGTCTGCCACATGATGCGACATGTGTATGAGATGAGGAGATGACAGGGACAGTAGAGAATAGAGGAGGGTAAAAGGTGAAAAACACTATTTTCGAATAGAGGAGGGATACCGAGTAACGCAAGGTACCTAGAGAGAGGTTCCTAATAGAACGTTAGTTGCTAAGGGTGTTTCTCGAGTTGCTTGTCAATCAATGCCTACCTTATTGTATAGGTAGGTATTATAAGGTGTTTCGAGTACCCTTGGGTTAGGTTAGTAGTCGATTTATCACTTCTCCCCTCTGTAATTAATCACGTACCCCCCTGCACCCCAGTGCTCGCCGCCATCATTACATTCCAACCACCGTATCTGAGATTCTTTTCTTCTTCTTACCCTTCTCTCCTCGACTTTTGTTCTTCCCTTTCCTATCTATCCGCAACTTTGTTTCTTTCATCGGGTTCTCTCTAAAGGTCCCATTCTGCGTAGGGGTCCCTGTTCCTCTGCCGAGCTTGCTTTGTTGGATAATAAACGAAAAAGGCAATAAAGTGAGAAAGCAAAGGCGATATTACATCAAATCAGATTACTCATATTTGTTTGATCTGGGTTGATCACGATATCGTGTCTTGATATCTTTCTACTGAGAACAAGGCAGAGACTTGCGAAGGAAAGATTCTGTCACTTTCTTTGCTTATCTACCTACCTATCTTGCCTTTCCTCTCTCCCTTTTAGTCACAGTAGCTTGTTCAACTGCAACAACCTCATCCTCATACATTGTCACTCACTCATCGTCTTCCTTTCCTCCCATTGCACGAAACTCGCACAACCAAACGAAACCCACTTTCGGCAGATCAGCTTCTTCACTATCGATCTCACTCAAGCTGAAACGATTCTCTCTTCATACCTAATCACCCATCGCGTCGACAACTCTACCATAAAATCCCCATTCTCAGTCAAGCTTTTGACAGAATTCTGCACCATTTCTCATCGGGTCTACGCAGGTATCCTTTTTTCCTTTCACAAGCTTAGGTACCCTACTTTTGGTAGTATCTAGAAGCCAAGCCAAGCCAACCAAAGCAGAGCAGACCGTCTGCATGGTTCGGTTCTCGATCTGGGGTTAATAATAGATGCTACCCTCGTCTTTCTGACCCGCTTTCTTCCTTTCCTTTCCCTTCACTTAAACATTTGCATTTACAACACATTTCCGTAGGACATCAAACCAGCCTCTGATATTTCACCACTGTCAACGGCTGGCAAACCCTAATATCCCCTTCTCCTCACTTCACTTCCTGTCTCTTCTCTTTGCTTGTACAAAATACCATCCTCTCTACCATGAACACAAAAAAAGGCAACGGGAGAACTGTTGCTCTCTCCAAGCGAAAGGCTCAACCAAATGCTCTCGAAAAGTTGGGTGATAACCCAACAGAAGACGAGATCAAAATTGCAGAGGCCAACGTTGCACTCGCTGAACTTGAGGAGAGAGTTGCCGATGTCAGAGAATCGTGGGAGACAGACTCTTTGTTTGAAGATGCTTTCGATGAGTTGAACGCTGATAATACCGTGGCCGTTGATGGTGAGTTTCTCTAGTCATGCCCTATCCTATCCTATCCTATCCTATCTTGAGATCGCCCCAATCTATGCACTCTACTCCAAGATGGCTAACCATATTCTCCAAAAAAAAAAAAAAGACCCCAAAGTGTGCACACCTGAAGAAGCTAGCAGACTTCGTCGGGAGCTCCGAGAATATGGTCCAACGGTCTTTTGTCAACGCACTGTTGATGCTGGCCACTATACCGCCAGAAAGCTCCTCAGCGCCTTTGGCATCCGTCCTCCTCCCTTCCTGGAGGGTCAGCCTGATGATGCGTATTTCAGTTTACTGTCGCTCGCTATTACGCGTGAACTGTCTAAACGCGCCAAGCTTCTGCGTCACAACACGGTTGACGATGCTGTTGACCTGATCACTAAGAGCAACAACATCATTCTCATCACTGGTGCTGGTATCTCTACATCCCTGGGCATTCCTGACTTCCGTTCCAAGGGAACTGGTCTGTATTCCAAGTTGGAGCACCTTGGTCTTAGTGATCCTCAAGAGGTTTTCGACATTAGTGTCTTCCGCCAGGATCCCACCATTTTCTACTCGGTGGCCAAAGACATTTTGCCGAGCACGGACCGGTATACACCCACTCACAAGTTCATTGCCATGCTCCACGAGAAGGGCAAACTCTTGACCAACTACTCCCAGAACATCGACAACCTCGAAGTCAAGGCCGGTGTTCCCAAGGACAAGCTCATCCAATGCCACGGCTCCTTCGGAACCGCCACTTGTGTCCAGTGCGGTTACAAATGCCCAGGAGAGGCCATCTTTCCCGAGATCAAGGCTGACAAGATCCCTCGATGCCCACGCTGCGTTCAGACTCTGCGCACTACTGGCGGTGCGCCTAAGCGTAAGCGGTCTGCGGGCACAGAGAAGAAGCGAAGACGGTGGAGTGCCGATAGTTCCGACGAGTCTGAGTATGACATCCCCAGTGCTGGTGTCATGAAGCCAGATATTACCTTCTTTGGCGAGGCTCTTCCCGATGAGTTCTCTCGACGACTAACCGAGCACGATCGTGACAAGGTTGATCTCGTCATCGTTATCGGCACTTCTCTCAAGGTTACGCCTGTATCTGAGATCGTTTCTTGGCTCCCTGCCAATATTCCTCAGATCTACGTATCTCGCCAGGCCGTCAATCACATCAATTTTGACATCGATCTCCTAGGCGACTGCGATGTTGTTGTCTCTGAACTATGTCGCCGTCTGGGCTGGCCAATGGTGCATGAGATGGTTCCTAAGAATCAAAAGGTCGAAGTCCGTACTGAGCCTGGCTTTAAGAGTCGCCACGTTTTTGAGGAGCAAAAGGCCAAGAAGTGAGAGCAACTTATCGAATAATTTTCGAAGGAGAACATGAAAGACACTGCATTTGTGCGTTTTTATAAGATTTTACATTCTGTGCTGCAAGCGGATGGCATGGCGTCTGGAGGATCGGATACAATGCCAACAAAAAATGGATGAATATGGACGGAGTAAGGGTGTTTACAGAACTGATCGTCTGTTGTCTTTTCTTATATGTCAGAGTTTGACTCTTTTTTGAACCAACTTTCATCTTGACTTAGATATGCGTTTCTCATCCCTGCGCCTGTCTTTGATCCCTTTTCTAGCGACATTTACGTATGAAAGACAAACTCGTGGGCTTCAATATCTTGGACCAGGACTAATTTACCGACACCCCAGATGAGATTTTGGGGTGATAAAAAGCCTTTCGTGCAGATGTTGAATTGAGCGAGACAGGACGCTAGGATGCGTTAGAGCGCACGCATATACACCGTAATACAGAAATTGAAGATTCACGAACAAACTACTATTCCAATGGTCTTCCTGTGCCTAGATTCAAAAGGTCCATTTATAACATTGGTTGCATTGGTGATTTCATCCATGCGATCAGGAGCGATAGTTCACACCAGATTACTATGTTCCGAAGCTGAACGCCTTCATAACAAGAATTCACAGCGCAAAGATTGCGAGCTAGCTTATTGCATGCATCACAATGAGTCCAGGCAGACTCCCAGCATTTCTCCACGACACAGAAGTTTAGTCAAACAAATGTATTTTCGATCACTCCCAGGTATCATCATAACAACTCGGCTATAGTAATAGTATGTGCTGTTTCTATCCTAATAGTAGTCTGGCCATGTTACCAAGTGACCTTGTGGCTATGGCTATCCCCATGCCACACCAGTCAAATATCCGTGATGGTACTACAAAGCCAACTCTATATCCAGCCGTTTGCTAAATGCTGTCTTATAATACTGTCGTAGATTTCAAGCCTAAATCAGACTCTCATATTTGTCCAATCCCGACTTTTGTCCCGGGTTGTTCTGCGGTGTGTTCTGTGTTGTGTTGCTCATCGAACTCATACCACTCCAGTTTGTTGTTGGTGATGGGGGCATTGTGAACGAAGAGGGTGTAGTAGATGTGTTGCCTGGTGGTGGTGGGAGTGTAAATGACGGTTGCCGCGATGTTGAGTTGAGAGACATGTTTGCCATCGAGGAGCCCATGTTGCCGGTAGACGCACTAGTACCGAACCTAGAGGAGCTTCCCCATGGGCTGGGTGTAGCTTTGGCGGCAGCAGCAGACCAGTTGATAGATGAACCGGATGTCGAAGCAGTCAAAGGCTGTTGTGAAGCCAGCGGTTGCTGCTGAAGTTGGGTTGGAGGTTGGAAGGATTGGCTCGGCGTGGGCTGTAGTGGTTGACTGAACTGAGTAGATGACGGTGTGAGAGCCTCGAAACGGCCTAGGTCCGGTGTTACGGTTCTGAAAGACGGAGTCTTCTGAGCTGGAGGTTTTAATGCAGGGTTATTCGTAGGTGGAGGAGGTGTCGACCATGAGAATGTAGGCGCGGGGGTACTCGATTTCGATTTGGCTGGGTCATCCCAACTGGGGGTTGCTGTGCTCGACCTAGGACTCCCCATGCGTCCTTTGACGAGATTCTCAAAATCGTCTTCTGTAGCTCCATTGCTCTGATCAAAGGCTGTACCAGTGACACCACCAAATGCCATGAAGTCTTCGCTTGGAGCAGCAGCGCCGTTGGAAAGGCCGCCAAGTTCTTGAAGTTTTCTTGTCTGCTCGTCCTCAACCCTTCGAGACAAACTCTTGATGAGCTCCATGAAACCCTGGAACTGCTTCAGATTGAGCAGTGGGCCCAAACTCATGCTCCAGAGAATGGGCAGAATTTCCATCGCAACAAATTCAGCATCAGCTACTGAGCCCACGACCCGTAGTACGTTGAGGGCTGCCATCATAACGGCAGGTTCCTTCGTCTTGATCACTCTGATGAGTGGGATAATCTTCTCCTGCATAGTGTACTTGTCCAAGGCACTCGAAGATGACGTCTTCTTGTTTTCCAGGCCATTGAGCCCGTCGTCTTCGCCATCATCGTTTTTTCCGCCACAAAGAATTACAAAGGCTCGCAGTCCGCGGACTTTAATAGCAAGACTGTTTGTCTTACTGAAAACAGCGGCAATGACTGGGAAGAGCTCATTTTTAATTGTGCTAAAATCAAGCACCGGTAGTACGACAGGCAGACTGCGGAGAGCAGCATCAACAATTGAGTGTGTCGGGCACTCAATTGCTGCCATTATGACCGGGAGCATATCTAAGGAAATTAGCACCATGTCAATCAGCTTTTCTTGATTAAACCTACCGTCTTTAAATTCTTTCCCAGAGCAGTTGCTGGAAATGGATGAGATATGTTCAAGAACAACCATAAGACCCGCGTCCCTGGCTGGATCTTTCTCTTGTGTCTGCTTGGCGTTGACTACAAAGATTTCTCTCAATGCTGGGCGGACCTTCTCACTGAACGCCCTCTTGGCAGACGGTAGGAGATCGAGGATCTTGAAGACGTTTTGCAGAATGAGCGAAAGAAGATCTCGATCTTTGAGCTCCTCTATCAATGCCGGTAGAATCTTCTTCTCCATCACAGACTTGGGAAACGAGGGTAGCACCTTGTTAAGACCTCGCATGAAAGAAGCCTTTTCGTTTGCAGTCTTGGCGGGAAATGAATCAAGAAATCGAATCGTCGACACAAGAATGTTATCGAAATACTCGCTCTGTTGAAACTCGCGTGCCGTCATTCGCTGAGCAGGCCGTCTTGTGATGAGTCGGGGCAGAACATCATGCGAAAGTTCTCTAGGAAGGGGTCGTGATGAAAGATAGTTATTACTGGCGGATGGAACGCTGGAAGATGAAGAAAACAGTCGCTTGTATGTAGATAAACTGCCGTGGCATTCAAGAGGAGACCTATGGGGTGAGTTGTACAGGGCGACCGACATGAGTCCCAGGGAGAACATGTCGGCAGAAGAGTTAAGGTTGTTGTCGACTACAAAGTCGGGCGACGAATAGTCGAGGTTGAGTTGCACTGCCTTTGGTAGTCGGGGATCCATATTGAGGACTTCATACAAGTTAATTCCTTGGATAGATGTTGGCTTGTCAGACCCCTCAGGGGGGCTAGCAAATGCTAGTCCACTGATCTTCCAATCGGACTATGATATGTTAGTCGAGTTCCCATGATCAGCTTTAGAGGGCATGCCTTTGCGTTGATGAGAACTGCGTCTGGAGTAAGGTTGCCATGGACGATACCGGCATTCTCATGTAAGAACTCGAGAGCTTTGCTGACTTGGAGCAAACCCTTTTGAATCTCCAACTCATCGATCTCGAGCTCTCTTCGCCTCTTTGTCCCATCTGCATCCTCTGTCACATATCGACTCGATCTTCCACCGGGTCCTCCAGCTCGTTCCTGTTCGTCTTTCTCCTGTAGCAAACTGGACAATGAAGCTGTGACGGATTCCGTCACGAACTGCAAGCCTCCGCCTCTTGTCTCCTCCACTGGTTCCACCAACTCGAGAATGTTGGGATGCCTGAGCTTCGCAAGACTCGACGCTTCCTTCTTTAACCGCTCGACGACTTCCTCGACCGTCTTCTTGAACGAGGCCGCACCAGAGCGGCCCAACGAGCTGCCATGGCTATCTAATGATTTCCGGTCAAAGACAAAGACACTGTATGGTTTGCTGGTAGACTTCTTCTTCGCATCGTATATCTTCCAGGGACCAGCCGTCGAAGTCGGTGCTGAGGAGATGGAGTAGTTGCCTGTGATGTTGGTGGCAGAGATGGACTTAAAGGCCGAGGAGAACATGGTGACAGCTCTCCATGGATCGCAAACGTTAGGTCGAACTTAAAAGGAGTCGCAAGTCGCAAGTGCTGCGCTTAGCCGCCGCTGTTGTTGTTGGAGGCTCACAATGCGAGATTCTTTGGTGACGACGAATACTACAAGGGTCGACGATCGCTTCGCTTAGGCCGTAATAGGATTGGGAATGGAAATGACGTTGATCGCGATGCGCATTCTCTATGTGTAGGGGTAGCCTCGCGTTGACAAATAACCCACGTATCCTTACCATCAGGGAGCCAAGCCTAGCTGCCCCACGATAAGCTGATAACGCCTGGGTAGCGGCAGCTCCAGCTGCTGAGTGTCAGATCAGTCCCCCATTGAACCCCTGTATCACTAACTTGATAGGGCGTCGACAGCTGCGTTCACGGAACTTTAAGTGACTTTTCCAGGCGACTCATCCACGGCCCAATGCGGTTGTGACCGCCTGGAGGCGGCTGTCCCTGTAAAGTACCTCGGGCTCACTTTGCAGCGAGCCTATTGAGTCGGTCAATTTGCAATCTTTCTATCATGAACCTCCGATACAACTCCGACCATAGACAATTGCCCCTAGTACTTAAGTTAATATCCCACCTAGTCTCGACACCGAAGGTTATTGCTCCCCATCTGTAGAACTTTACCTTTTTGTTCTTCAGTTTGTGTTGCATATATAATTTCGCCAATTCAACTTTCTATTGTCAATTGACTTCACAAACGCATCAATGATGAGACCGTTGCTTGTCCGCTCCGCTTTACGGAGCGCTCGCATGTCGAGCTTGAGACCGCTATGCCATGCGCAACGGTTCAGCATCAAGGCTGAGGCTGCCTCTACCATCAAGCCCCTGGGCCTGGATGCTTCAAAACTCAGCATTGAGAAGACGGGGAAGCCCAAGGGCCTCAGCAAGCCCGAGGATCTCGTCTTTGGAAGGGAATTCACAGGTGAGCGAACCCCCAACCAGATGCGCCCTGCACAAATGCTAAAACTTTGCCAGACCACATGCTTGCGATCGAATGGAATCAAGACGAAGGATGGTTGGAGCCCAAGATCACACCCTACCAGGACCTCTCACTCGACCCTGCAACATGTGTCTTCCACTATGCTTTTGAGTGTTTTGAGGGTATGAAGGCGTACAAGGACAAGGACGGCAAAGTGCGACTCTTCCGGCCTGACAAGAACATGGCGCGACTCAACAAGTCTGCTGCCCGTATTGCGCTCCCTACCTTTGAGCCCCAGGCCCTCACTGAGCTCATCTCCAAGCTCGCTCAGCTCGACTCCCGCTTCATCCCCGATAAGCGGGGATACTCCCTCTACCTCCGTCCCACCATGATCGGAACCCAAAAGACACTCGGTGTCGGACCTCCCGGATCTGCTCTTCTCTACGTCATTGCCTCACCCGTTGGTCCTTACTATCCTACCGGTTTCAAGGCCGTCTCGCTCGAGGCCACTGACTACGCTGTTCGTGCCTGGCCTGGCGGTGTTGGTGACAAGAAGCTGGGCGCCAACTATGCGCCCTGCATTGTTCCCCAGCTCCAGGCCGCCAGCCGTGGCTTCCAGCAGAACCTCTGGCTGTTTGGGGAGGAGGAGTACGTTACTGAGGTCGGCACTATGAACATGTTCGTTGCTCTCAAGAACAAGGAGACCGGCCAGAAGGAGCTTGTGACTGCACCTCTTGACGGAACTATCCTTGAGGGTGTTACTCGTGACTCTGTGCTCGCGCTCGCTCGGGAGCGTCTTGAACCCGAGGGCTGGAAGATCAGTGAGCGCAAGTACACAATGAGGGAGCTTGCTGAGGCCGCTGAAGAGGGCCGTCTCCTCGAGGCCTTTGGTGCTGGAACTGCAGCTATTGTCAGCCCTGTCCGATCCATCTCATGGAAGGGCAAGCTCGTTGACTGCGGTCTTTCTGAGCTCGAAGAGTCTGGCGAGATCGCCCTCAAGATGAAGGAATGGATCGAGGCCATTCAATATGGTGATGAGGAGCATGAATGGAGCTACACTATTTAGAGTGGTTGTGTATATGGCGTTATATAGCGGCTGGGAATAGATAGATCGGAATCAAAATAATTGCACTCACGCTCAGGTTTACGAGAACATCATCTGCTTTGCCACAATTGCTTGTTAAGGCTCACAATCAGCGAAACTAGCAAAGGTCAGAGGTTGTGTCACAGCCTCAACTAGACAGACAGTAATACCTCAAGACCAAAACCTCTAGCAGTACCATTCTTCAAATGCAAAATAACATGTACAATTGACCGGATTTCCCCCTGTCAGTATGTCGTAACCTCCGCTTAGTTCTTCTTGTCCTGCTTGGATGGGTCGGGCAGGATTCCCTCTTCCTCTAACCTCCTTCGTGCTTCCTCAAGGGCCCAGGTAGAGACACTATATAGCCGTTAGTAGACGTCCCGTATCAGTTCTCGGCCAGAATTTCGCCATTGGCAAGACTGAATCCGCCCAATACGATGTGTATCCTCCGAGTGCAAATCACTCACGTAGTATCGGGCTTGAAGGCGAGCGCAACGGCGGTGGCGGCAAGGCTGCCGAGAAGAATATATGTAGGCCACTCCCAGCCCTCGGGCTCGGGCTTCTCACCAGGCTTGACACCCCAGAGCCAGCCGGTGGGAGGATCGAATTGGTGCTCGCCGCCGCCTCCTTGTCGTCGGGCGGACACGGAGAAACCTCTGGAGGAGAGGGGTTGTCGAATGCAGCGTGCAGCGCGCAGGGGCGCGACAGCAGCGCGGATAAAGGTCATGTTTTACCGTATCGTCGAGATCTCGAGGGGGATTCGGTTCGGCGATAAGATGGCGTGGGGGAAGGTCAATGGCTGAGTGACGTTGTTGGGCGTGATGCTGGTTGTTTGATCTGAGCGGATGCGTACCTAGGTAATTGCTGAACGTCAATTTGATAGGTTCACGTGACCCGGTAGTCACAGCACCCCTGTTGGGCTAGTCACTTTGTATATCCTCGTCCAATCCCATCCAAGCGGATAGAAGGAGGAATGAGACATTGAGCATAATCAAGTATTGTTATTTATTAAGTCAAGCTCGGGTGTATCACTAGAGCACAGTTGATCTGAGGTTATATGTCTGTCTGAGTGTTTGAGTTCCGCAGGTGCTGCAGTACCAGAACATTGGCCATACCTAAAACCTCAGCTCAATTAAACTACGTGATGGAGTCATTCATGTGCAATCTCAACTCAATGAACGTAGCTCATAATATGTATCTCACAATCTCTACTTCCTTATACTTGAAGACTTCTTCTTTCACTGAAATCCCTGCTTCTCAGTCCGATCCCAATCTTGGCAATAGTGATGCACGGCCTTGTCGATGCCCAAAAAAAGCATGATCTATTCGAGACCCAATATTTGGATCCTGCATCATTCTTTGGGATTCTGCGGTTCCCCTTTTGGACTCATTTCATCTCGAGTCGGTCTGTTTTTTTGCATTTCTCTTGCAAGCGTATTCATTCTAGAGCATTACTTTCCATTTCTCTATAAGTAAATCCGGAGTAATTGATGACGAAACAATCGCTTCAACAATACCGCAACGAACATACAGTACAGCCACGGAATTACTTATGGTCTCGGCTCATTGACTTCGATTACCTTTCATTCTCCAGTATATAATTCAAACCGACCCTCCCATGTTCGACGGCTACATAATAGGTGGTAACGTCAACACAGTTTGGTACTCTTATATACCATCAAAACTGCATTAGTCCACTAATACCTCTCCCCAAAATGGATCGTGGCCGTCAACGGACTCGAATCACGGGACCTCCTCAAAATGCAACTCAAATAGCTGCCGAGTCATCTGTGGATGATAGTCCAAGTCTAAGCCCTACCGGGTTAGACGTGAGATTCACCTTGTACCATGAACCTCGTAGAGGACGCTCTATTTCGCCTGCTCAAGCCTCACTCACGAGGCCAAGCTTGGACTCTCGAAGGAGCCAATCGGTCATGAGCATCATGCAGATTGATCAGATCATCTCCGATGATCGAATGAACATGGAAACGTATGGGGTTGCTGAGATGCGTGATGGCTTCTTCGATGCTCTTTTCCTAAAGCCGGACCCGATAGATCCAGATGAGATTGTTGAACAGTCCAAAGCTGCTCTGCCTAAGGAATTCGAAAAGAGTCACCCGTTATCAGCAAAACATTTTCTCCCAAGGCAGCTCCATGAGTTCAAATCAGTAACGCGCAAAGTTGCTACCACTAGAGCTGGCATCCAGCTCCTCAAGTCGTTTCTTGCCTTTTTCATCGCCTATATCTTATGTCTAATACAGCCGGTCCACGACTGGCTAGGCTACAATGACTACATCATGGTGGTGTCTACGATAATAAATCATCCAGGTCGCAATTTGGGTTCTCAAGTTGATGGCACAGTTGGAACTATCATTGGTACTGCTGCCGGCCTAGCCTGGGGCTATGTTGCCATTTTGATTTCAGAATCAACGAATGATGCTTTAAAGGCATATGGCTGGATTCTTATTTCCGTTTCCGCAGTGTTCTTTGCGGGCATTGCCTTGACACGTTCAATATTTATCCGCCTATACCAGACTGTTCTATGTGCAGGCATAGCCCTTGCGTTTACAACACTGGGCCTGACTGATGATAATGCTTTCACCTGGCACAAGCCGTTGCAATACGGAATCCCTTGGCTGTTGGGTCAAGCAATTGCACTGGCGGTAAATTGTCTGGTCTTCCCAGATGCCGGCAACCGCCTACTGGCGGTCGCCTTTCATAAGTCATTCAATGCTATGCAGGTGAGTCAAGTTCACTTGTTTCTTGTTTAAAGTCATACTAACTACTCAGGAATCTCTTGTTATCCCTAGGCCTACAGATACAGGACTCAGGAGGCGTCTTGCCAAAACGTTCATGGACATGTCACTTGCTTATCGAGATATGAGAATTGATGTCACCATCACTCGCTTCCGCCCAAACGACGTCCGAGAGCTTCGTAATTCAGTGCAGGGTGTGGTCAGGGCCCTTCTCTCCATGAATACGGATACAGACCTTTTCGAGGACTGGTCTGAAACTCTTGAGATTACTGTTGCAGATGACACGGGAAGTGAATCCGAGGTGGAAGATTCTGGCCGCAAGGTGGCTCGGGCTTTGTCGGGTCCTACTAGGGAAGTCATTGATTGTATGTCAGAAGGTGTGAAGACATGCCATGCTGCACTCATGGATATGACAGGCTGGCGAAAGTACTTTGGTCCTTCTAAGGACGTTTCGTCTGATCTCGTTCCTGTTCAATTGCGCATGCAAAACAGCCTTGCGGCCTTCGATACTGCGGAAGATCATCTCTTGAGATCTAACGACAGGCCCGAAACGTATGCCGATCACGGACAGGCTGTTGAATTCCTTGTGTTCGCGAGACATGTCCGCGAAACAGCAGGGACTGTTGTCAACCTCATGGCCACAGTTCAGGATATGCATACCAACTCTAAAAGCATACGCGTCAATCTTCCTGTATATCCTTTCGGGAAAGCTCTATACAGAACCAACGCACAGGTCAGACACGATCGTGGGGGCGTCACCGCCGGAATGTATAGAGCGACATTTGCGGAGATCGCAAAACTGATAGAAACGACAAGATCATCCGAGAAGCATCACCCTCGTGATAACTACGAGGCAGTCACTGAACCAGAAGACTGTACAGTGATCGAGTCGATCACTCATGGCAGTCCTGCGGTGCATAAAGATAGGTTGAGGTATAAGTTATGGAAACTTCTGCGCCGTTCCCAAGGGTTTGAAGCAAAGTATGCAACGAAGGTTGTCCTTCTCCTTTCAGCTCTATCTCTTCCTTGTTGTTTTGAAAGCGCCTATGTCTGGAGAACGCTTTATGATGCATGGTGGGCTGTCGCGATGGGATGGATCATGATCCACCCTCGCATAGGGGGTAACATTCAGGACTTTTTCACTCGTGCTTTTGCAGCCGTTCTTGGTGCTGCGTGGAGTGGTGCAGCACATGCAGCGAGTGGTGGGAACCCATATATTCTGGCAGTCTTTGCTGCTATATACATGATTCCCATGATATACCGCTTTACTCAGAGCACTCACCCGGTACGTTTAATCTTTGACTTCCAGCCTCCGGGGCATTGCTGACTTGAATGAAGCGATCCGGTCTTGTTGGCTGTTTGTCTTTCGCCGTCATCTCTCTCACTTTGCGACACGACACTCTTGGACCTTCCATTGCACTGCAGGGTGTTTATAAGGGTCTGGTATTTCTTATTGGCACTATAGCACCCATCGTTGTGAATTGGCTGCTTTGGCCCTTCATCGCTCGACACGAACTACGGATCGCACTATCATCAATGATTTTATACATGAGTATAATGTACAGAAGTAAGTCTCTCATTTTTTCTCTGCGACTCTGCTGATCGTCAGATGTTGTTGCAAACTATGTTTACTTCGACGAGGGTAAAGATCCGACCCCTGAGACTATCAGACGTTCTGAGATGCTCGAAAGTCGGATGCGTGAAGGTTTCGTTAGAATCCGACAACTCCTTGTCATGTCGCGTCACGAAATTCGCCTTCGGGGTCCTTTTGATCCAATACCCTACTCGTGTCTCGCTGCCTCATGCGAGCGATTCTTCGAGTATCTCATCGCTGTTCGACAGTCTGCTCTCTTTTACAACCCAAACTACATCCGCGATAATCCCGTGGCTGCTGGACACCTACATAGCTACCGGCGTGATGCAGTGGCCGCCATCCTCGGGAACTTATACATCCTCGCCGTAGCATTGCGATCCGAGCGCAAAGTTCCTGTAAGTATGAAAGCTCACGTGCCATGACTTCTGCTAACAACCACGAAGCGCTATCTACCGAGTGCTGCTGCAGCAAGAAAGAAGCTCCTTCACAGAACAGCTGAGCTGGCCAAGGAAATGGAGGAAGATACCGAGGGATATGAGCTTGAGCGGCAGAAGACGTGGAGTGATATATATAGCTACTCATACAATGCAAGTCTTACTGGATGTGTGGCCCAGCTGGAAGAGTTGGAACGTTTCACGAAGCTCATAGTAGGAGAAAAGAAGTGAGTCATTATCCACATTCGCGGGATCACTGTTAACAAGAGCAGGTTCGAGCGCCCCGCAAAACCCATAGAAGAGGACGATGAAGATACTGATGTATCGCCTGAGCGGCTTTGATTGATCCTATATTGATCTTATCCTATCCATGCGATGCAATGCTAAACCGATTCCGCTAATCAAACATATGCGCCGTTGGTCATTTCGTTCAAGATGTCCCTCGTGATAAGCTTCCCTTTCAATAACGCCTTGTCGCTAATCCTGGCCGTTCTCGGTGAACGCCTGCGGTTCTCCTTTCCAGAAGCCTTCTTCCGTGGTGATTTAATCCTTTGCGTAGGGCCTGTAGCTGTGATCTGTGTACCAAAGTCCTCAAAATAATGGTTCTCAAGCGCATTGGCGGGCATCTCGTAAATCCAATTCCGGTCCTCCATCAAAGATATGAATCGACTTAGCATACTGTCGCTGCCGCTACCCTTGAGTGTCGATTTGCTCCCAACAACGAGGAGCTTCGTTTTGGCTCGTGTGAAAGCAACGTTTATTCGTCTCCAATCCTTCAACAGGTCTCCAATGTTGCACGCTTCATTGCTTCGCACGAGACTGAGGACAATCACCTCCTTATCTCGTCCCTGGAAACGATCTGTTGTGTGCATCTCTACTCCAGAGAACACTTTGAGCTTGTCTTTGAGCATAAAAAGCTGTGCTCGGTAGTGTGTCATCACACCAATTTCAGAGTCTGGAACTCCAACTGTCAAAAGGCTGTCAACGAGCTGAGAAACGATGCGGACTTCAGCTGAGTTGACGATTCGTTTACCCTGGGCTTCTTCGCGGACGGGAGGTTGGATTGTGTCAGTGTTAATGAAACGTACGCGCGCCTCGCTATCGAGAAGGTCATATAGCCAACATCGATTCGGACCAGGGGCAGCGCAGAACGATCGGGGAGTTGCTGCATTGATGGTTGATGCATCGTAGTGTCGCTGCATGAGAGCCTCCATTCGTGGGACTTCAAGTTTCCGCCTGCGAAGCTGCTCTGTACCGCACCGAAGTCTTCCGTTATAGATGAGAGTGTTGCTCAGAGTCATGATATCCTCACACATACGATACTGATGCTCTAGGTTGACGACCGATTCGGGATGGGTGTCGGACAAGAGTTTGAACAGGCTAACATCGAGACCGCCTTCGCGTGCTTCTTCGTTCTTTACCACGGGAGGGAGCTGATTATGGTCGCCAACAAGGACAAAAGTGCGAGCCATTCTGATGGGACCAGCGCAGATGGGCAGTGTAATTTGTGATGCCTCGTCCACGATACAGTAATCAAAGGAACGTTCATGGAAGACAGAATGGTTGATACCAAGACATGTCGTTGCGACAATTGGTGTCCCGTGCCATGCATTCTTGATCTCATCGAATGATTTCATGGGATGGCCTGCAAGAATAGCGAAGTCCTGGACGTCGGGGTGCACTTTGGCCGGGGCACCCAGACGAAGGATGGGTATTTTATCAGCCTTGAGTTTTAGCAGAATGTTGTCCACGGCAGTATGTGTATGCGAGGTCAAAAGCACACTCTTCCCCTGAGATGTCAAAGCACGGATGATATGAGCAATAGTTGTTGTTTTTCCAGTACCGGGCATTCCAAGAACAAGTGCGTAGTCTTGAGCACTCATGACTTTTTCGATAGCACGATGTTGATCAACATTTAGGCTATCTCGATCCGACACGATGTACTGAGTTGGCGCAGCCTTGAATCTTGGTGCTTCTAGATCAACGATCAGTCGTCGAATTTGCCGCGATCCCACGATATCATCTGCCATCATCTGGACGAGGTTGTTGCGAACAGTCGCCATTCCGTTGCTGAATTCATCTTGGTCGAGTCGATAGCGAATAGGGGCCTCTTTGATTTTGCCTGTTGCCTCATCCTGGGTCGCCCCCTCATGGGCAACGTCCATAATGCTAGCAAAAATCTGATTATCCCTCTCATCAAAGCCAGGTTGTCGAATGCGGGCATTATGAAGTCGCCTGTCAACTGCGACACTGATTCGTTGCCTCTTGACTGCTGTAACGTAGCCTATGGCCAAGGCGAAGTGGCCCTCCTCGTCAGAGACCACAATTGGCTCTCCGACTGACAACTCGGACTCCAGGAATGAGAATCCTGAAACTTGAACTCGCTTGACAAAGGTATAGTGGTACCGATTAATCCTAGGGTTGTCCGTGTCGACTGAAGCCGAACCCTCTTCGATGATGACATCTGCAAAACATCGAGATTTCTTTTCTCGTTCAGCACTAGTCATTGTCCATAACTCTCTTTTGGTTTTTTGGCTCTCCTTCTCTTCTTTGGTCAGTAAATTTTCCCACTTGATGAAGAATTGTTGATGATGAGGAGTTAAGTGCTTGACGAGCTCATCAAATTTCTCATTCATGCCACTCGACTCTCCATCTCCGTCGTCAGCGAGTCGATGGTAGATGAAACACGATGTCTTGGCGTAGCATTTCCCACACATGTGCTTGCTCTTGAGCATTGGTGGCAACTGGACACTTCTTTCTCGAACGTAGCATGCTAGTTGATTTCTTTGCATGATCATGTGTCGGAGCTCGTGTCGGATTGCGGGAATACGCATCGTCTTGGATGTTTCCATATAGTAGAGGATTCCATACGCAATTTCAATATCGTAGCGGTCCGATAAGAGCAAAGTATAGAGTGCCGTTTGAGCCATATGGTTACTGTTTGCATGTTTACCCGTCTTGACCTCAAACGGCACAGTCAAAGTCCGAATATCATTTCCATCCTGCATTGCAACTTCAACTGTTGCGTCGATGTTGCCCTTGAGTCCGTACATTGGGGACCATACGTGTTCCTCAACATCCAAGAGCTTGGTAACGGCCATATTTGCCTTTTTCCCGTTTCGGTCTTCAACTACCGCATCCTCCTTTGGGCGGGAAGATACGAAAGCGCCAGCCCAGTAACTCAATTCGGTCATTTTCGATTGTAGATGCTCTCGAGCCGAAGGTATGCCAACTTTAATAGTATAGAGGTCCTCGACATGCTTTTCTGTTATTCGGTCGATGACGGCGCATAAAAAGGGAAGATCCCACTTATTAACAAGAAGGGCCTCTTGGAAAATTTCGTGTAGCATTGTTCCATAGATAAGGGGTGGTGTTGGTGGACTGGTGGCCTTGACTCGATCTTGCAACACAGCACGGCGCATGCAACCGAACGAATCAGCCACCACGGTTGCGGATACAAGTTGATCGGGGTGTAGAATAAGAAGATTTTGGCCATCGTCAACGATACATTGACCTCTTGTAGAAAAATCGCCTATAATGTGAACGTAGGCTTCTGCGTGGGCTGGTGTGTCAAACCATGAGGCCCTCAGGTGAACCGTCTTTATATCTTTTGAATTGTCGGCCTGGATGAGAAGAATCTGAAGTTTCGAATCAGTAATATTCGAGCATGGTTGTTGACTAATTTACCTTTTCTGGCCGTGTATGTCCGTATTGGTCCGTATACTCGCCCTCCAAGACATTCGTTACCAGGTATCGTTGGATTGTTCTTGGTTTCCGGCTCTATCTGTTACTTAGCATATGGCGGATCCTCCTAGGTTGTTCGACGTACGTCTCCGGAGCAGTTCTGGGCTGCTTGCGTTGCGGCCAGTTCTACGGCTTCAAAATCAAAGTCTCCGCCAAATGCGTCTCCAAATTCATCATCCAAGTCGTCAAGTTCTGTCGTTGCTGGAGCCTGTGATACTTGTTGAGAGTCCGCAGTAATTAGATCTTCTGCCTCGTCGAAGAAGTCATCGTCCAGGTCGTCAAATTCGTCCAGCTTGCCGTCAAACTTTTCCGGTGTTTTTTGATCGATCTCGGTTACCGGATTGTTTTCGGCTGCTACTACCTCTGGTTGCTGATTCGCTTCCAATTGAGTAGTGTTGATGCTGGCTTCAAGTTGCATGATGGTGTCGTCGTCAAATTCGTCAAAGTCATCATCACCATAGTCCGAGGAAGCAGGTTCTGGATGTGGCAATTGAACTGGAGCTCGAGCCGGAACTTGGACATGCTGTTGCGCAGGGTCTTCTGCAGGCGTTTGAGACCTGGCTTGGGTTTTTGAGAGGCGTGGAGAGCCACTGCTAGTGGTGTATATCCGCCTCTTCTTAGGAGAAGGAGATTCTGGAGCATCTTGGGGCTCCTCACTTGGCCCGTTGATGCTACTAGTCACCGTATCGAGCAGTGCATTTACCATTGAAGACTTGGATGCCTCCATCTCTTCCATCTCAGTACTCAGGCGACTACCTGACGTCGATCTTTCTACCCTTCTCCTCTTGGGCCAATTCAAGCCGCAACTTATTGCTCGTCTGAGATTGGTTTCGCCAACCGTTGTTTTCGATGGCCGTGGCGAAGACGACACCATCAACTGTGCAAGTGCAGGGTTCGCAAGTCCTAGAGAGCTACCTGCGTTGTCGGTTCCGTTTAGCGAGTATCGGTCCCATAATTCCAGTGTTGGATCCGCGTATGGTGACTTGAGGGCTTGCGCCAGCTTCCTGACGTTTACCGAGGGTGTATTGGACTTGTCCGCTACCGGAGACGAAACAGGCGATGAGCTCCTAGCACGTTTTCTTGCTCCTTTGCGGTTCAACATGGGAGATAATGCTGGCATATACAATGTATCCTGTCTGTTGTCCCAGAGAAGCCGATCATTCGGCGATGTCGTTGTGTCATCTTCGGTACCACCTACAGGTTCGAGCAGCTCTTGCCAGGTCAATCGAGTAGCGGGCGTCGTCGTTGTCTCGTCCTTGGTTCGGTTGTTTGATACATTCTGGTCGTTTTCTGTGCTCTCTGAGGCTGTTTCGCCATTCACGGGGTGATACTGAAATTTATTGAGCTTGTTCTTGGTCACCTCGGACACAGGCTGGAGTGCCCGGGGTCTTGGTGTTTGTTGAATGGGGTTGCTCCTCGATCGCTGCCATGGCAAGCGCTGTAACCGTTAGCGATGCTCAACTTTGTGTCTGTATATAATTGGTTTTTTCCATTACCTTAGTTCGACCAACTTGATCCGAGTAGGATTTTTGTAGAGGCATTATACCTACCGGGGCTTGAACATTCCGATTTCCAAACCCGTGAAGTAAGGTGATAGT